TGGATTCCTGATGAATAAAAAAATTAATCACAAAAAATACAATCTGAAAAATGTTAAGAGAAACATGAGAATTACAAAACCCAGAAGTCATAGAAAAATGGTACACACACTGATTACATAAAAATCAAAAACTTCTGAATGACAAAGATGAAATGTAAATGACTAAGAAAAAGAAGTATGCAACATAGATGACATAGCAAGCCCATCTCCTGAATATATAGAGAGCATTTTATAGATCAAGAACACAAAAAATGCAATCAATAACAAAATGGGTAAAGTTATCAAACAGTTCATATAAAAAGTCAATAAATATACCTGTTGGACATTTGTATGTCTTCTTTAGAGAAATGTCTATTCAAGTTTTTAAGCCCATTTTAAAATCTGGCTATTCGTTTTTTTGCTATTTGTTTGTAGAAATTTATGTATTTTAGAGATGAACTCCTATCAAATATTTTTCCCATTCCATGGGCTGCCTTTCCACTGTCTTGTTTCCTTTGCGTGCAGAAGCTTTTTAATCTGAAGTAGTCCCACGTGTCTCTTTTTGCTTTTGTTCCCTGTGCTTTTGGTATCACATCCATGATACCATTGCCAAGAACAATGTCATGAAGCTCTTCCCTTTGTTTTCTTCCAGGAGTTTTACAGTTTCAGGTCTTAATGTTTGTCTTTAATCTGTTGTGAGTTGATTTTTTTGTATAAGATAAAGTTCCAATTTCATCCTTTTGTGTATTGCATATCGTCCAATTTTCTCAACATCTTTCCCCTAGTGTGTATTCTTGGCATTCTTGTCAAAGGCCAGTTGATCATACATGAATGGATTTATTTCTGGACTCTCTATTCTGTTACATAGGCCTGTATGCCTGTCTTTATGCCAGTACCATATTGTTTTGGTTACTGCGGCTTTGTAATATATTTTGAAATCAGAAAGTGCAATGCCTCAGCTTTGTTCTTTCTCAAGACTGATATGGCTATTTGTGGCCTTTTGTGGTTCCATCTGAATTTAGAGCTGTTTTTCTATTTCTAGAAAAAATGCCATTGGAATTTCAATACAGATTGCACTGTCAACCACACTAATATTCAGGGAAATATAACTCAAAGCCACAGTGAGATATCATCTCACACCTGTTAGGTTGACTACTATCCAAGAAACAAAAGACAAGTGTTGGCAAGGATGTGGAGAAACTGGAATTGAAATGTAAGTATAAATGCACACCATATTTTGACAGCCTTGTATTAAAAAAAGGATGTAAAATATTTTGAATATATTTGGATTACATAAAATATATTTTTGAAATCATTATCACTTGGTGTTTTTTAACCATTTTAAATGTGGCTACTAGAAATTTTAAATTATATATATATATCATATATATAATGTTATGTTTCTGCTGGAATGTACAGTTCTAATACCATGAGTATTCTCTTTAAAATCAAGATTGGCAAAATAAGTCTGCCAATGTTTGAATCCCCCAAACTGTTAAGAACATACCAATATGCTGGACTTTTTCATCAATGACTTCACAGTGGTACGGCCACCGTGTTGGGCCCAGCGGACCAGAAGAAGAGACACCATATAAATCTCGTGGTTTACGAAGACGTGGCACCCACCTTCCTAGCTGATATTCCAATAGTATCTGTGTGGTCCGGGGGAAAAATGGGTCACTAATAGAGTCAGCTGAAAAAGGATTCAAACATGATCATGAGTGATAAGAAGGAAAACCCCAATTCCTATCATTTTTTAATATAGTTTATTTTTTCCCTCTAAAGCCATTAATTTGTGAACATTTGTGGATATTTTAAAAATATTTTATATTTCATGGCATTTCAAAAATAAAAAGTACTAATGAAATTTGTCACAATTTTCACAATAGCTAGAAAATAGCTATTGATCTCATATATTGTTAATTTATGTTTTTTTTTAAATTCAGTGTTTCAAAAATTTTTTAAATTTATTTTTACATTTTTTATTTATCTATTTTCTTGCAGGGGGTAATTAGTTTTACTTACTTATTTATTTTTTAGAGGTGATACTGGGGATTGAACCCAGGACCTCATGCATGCTGAGCATGTGCTCTACCACTGAGCTACACCTACCTCCCTGCTAATTTATGTTAAGTTCTCAATGCTACTCCAGTGACGTTTGTTTCTTGCAGCTTTTCTAGGAAACTGTCTATTGCTGAGTCTTAAAACTTAATCATATTGGCAACTATTTGTCTAATGCGTTAAATGACACTCACTAACCATAATTCCTCACCACCTGCTGGAACTATATTCTCAAAGGTTGCTAGTGAACTCTCTTTCTACCTTTCACATAATCACTTCTCCATTTTGTCTCACTGACTCCTCTTGCTTTTTCACCTCTGAAATGTGGATTTTTAGCTAGATAATTCTTCACTACTTTTTGTACAATAGCAGATACAGCAATTAGATGATGAGTCAGACAAATTCAGTTCTATTCTACCACTTTGTTTCTATATGATTTTGGTTGGCCAATGCAGCCTCTTTGAACATAAACCTTACTATATATAAATAAGGAATAGTATTATCTTCCTTTCTACTTCTAAGGATTATTACTTATAAGGATTTTTATATAGAGCTATTTATTCAACAGTTATAAGTCATCTAGTATTCCATTATGTGAAAAGACCACATTTTGTCTAATTTACAGTATAGCTCAAAAGTGGCAAGGGAGGTATTTATGAATTAGAAAATAAAATTAGATCCATATCATACTATTCTTAAATTAAATACCAAAATTCAAGCAAGTAGATAAAATTAAAGGAAATTGAGACGATTATATTGATGACCCTGGTGCAGGGAAGGTCTTTGTAGCTTAAACAGATATAAAAATGAAGAGCCACAAATGAATAATGATAAACTTAACATCAAAATAATTCTAAACAATGGATGTAACGTAAACAAAGTTAACAAAAGACTACTATGAGTGGGCAATCATTACCAGGCAGTATATAAATAGACAACCATATGAAATAATTCTCAATTTCTTTAGCAACCAAGGAAATGTTAGTTAAAATAGTGAGTTACTCCTTTCTTCCAACAGATAGGCAAAATTTTAAAAAGAAAAAAGTAGGGGAAGAAGTCTATACTACAAATTTTCTATGAATATGGGTATAGGTTTGAGTACAAATGCAAAAAAAAAAAAGGTCTAGGATACACATAAAACTGAGAATAGTGGTTATCTCAAAAGTAAAGACTTGTTTTAGAATGGTGGTTAAAAAAAAAAAAAGATAGAAATTCCATCTCCAATTACAGAATATCTGTGGTAGATATATGAATATTTAGAAGAAATATTTTAATGTGCATTTGAAAGTACTCGAAACATATAAAATTTTAAAAATCAAGTATACATCAAGATGGCCATATACATGTGCATTTGCATATGAATGACTTTATTAAGGAAACTCTTTATTAAGGCATTCTTCATTTAAATAAAGATGTACTTCTAGACTGAACTAGTATCTGTAAACCATAAATTGACAACACTGTAACCTGACTATACTTAAATTAAAAAAAACAAGTACTTCTAAAACATAGTGTCCATTAAAACTTGAGTCATACTGTAAATGTGTTTAAAGAGCTACTTAAAGAAATGTCAAGGTAAATCCTTATGTTAAGTGAAGTCTTTTCTAATGACCACTTTCATTTAGTTTCATTAAAAATCAACTTAAAACAAAACTCAAAAGTCTAAACTTCAGGGGAGGACCAAGATGATGGAGTAGGAGGACGTGGAGTTCACTTCCCCTGACAAATACATCAAAAAGACATCTACGTGTGAAACAATTCTCACAGAAAACTAACTGGAAACTGGCAGAAGATCTCCTATACAACTAAAACTGCAAGAAAGATCTCCATGTATCCGGGTAGGACAGGAAAGAAAGGCATCAGGTGGGACCTGTGCCCCTGAGAGGGATCTATAAGGAAGAGAAGGTCCACAATGCAGACCCTCACCCTGGGGAGGGAACAGACAGACTCACAATCTGGGCATCCCAGTCCTGGGGTCCTGTAGAGAGGAAACAAGCCCCCTTGCCTGCTGGGAAATCCACTGAGACAAACAGAAGGGCTGGAGAAGCCTAGACCCTGTGAGGAGTGCACTCGTGCTGGCTTGCTTACAATCAGGGCGGAGAGAGCCTTGTACTAGCAGCTGCCGCCTTGCTGCACTTCCCAATCCAAAGGGGTGGATGCCCTGTCCCTGTTCACTGCACACCACAGCCTGCAATTAGATCAGGACAAAGATTCAGCCTAAGTACACAGAAACAACCAGGGTGCCTAGCATGTGATCTCCTCAGAGCTGTGACAACCACTGTCAGCATACATACCAGGCAGTGCCACAAAAACATGCAGCAGCTAAATGCTGAATCTCTGGCAGACAGGCCCTGGCCAAGAGTATACAGCACTCGTTTCCTAGCAAGAGCAAGCCAGCTCCACCCACTCCACATTGCAGCTCAGCACCAGATCTGGGGCAGAAGGATCCTGGGAGAAGTCAGCCACAGAGATAGCCCACATCCCAGGCAGCAACACGGCCACCTCAATTCCTGCAGGCACAATGCCCCAATCCTCGCCCCATTCTACTCCTCACCACAGCCCTGCACTAGATCTGGGACAAACACAACAGAGAAAGGGATGTAACCTTGGGCTACTTCTGGGCAGAACCACAGAAACCTACACAGGTGGTGCTTAAGTTTGTTGTGACCACACGGGCCTCACCTGCTTCAGCTGTCACCTCCTTTGGGACAGAGCAGGCCCTTAAGGACAACAGAGCCTTACTGAACCCAACCTCTGGGACTTCTACTCCAAAAACCGAGGAGCAGACCCCACAACTGACAGGGTGGTGATAACCACGGAGCAAAGAAGGCTCGCCTAACATAAAGCACAGGCTCTAGACACTGTATCACCAATCACACCCTCTATCAAGGGGTAACAGTCAGCACATTCTGAAGAAAGACATAGCATCCACACCAAAGCCAGCACTCCCACCAAAAATACTGGACACACACAGTCTACACAGGGACACTCCCACACAAAAACATCCCCTCAAGACCACAGTAGGTAACTTTTTCCTAAATTCAGAGACTTTAGAGAAAGTTAAGTAAAATGAAAAAGCAGAGGAATTACTCCATCAAAAGGACAAAATCCCCTGAAAGAATAATGAAACAGACTCCAAGTTCAAGAAGGAGGTAATAAAAATGCTAAAGAAATTGAGAAAGATTATCAATAGAAGTGCAATCACTACAACAAGGAGCTGGAAACTATAAAGAGAAACCAATCAAAAGGAGATAATTCAATTGCCAAGATAAAAAATAATGAAGAAGCAATAACTAACAGTCTAAATGACGGAGAAGAATGAATAAGTGATCTTGAAAACAGAATAATGGAAATCACTCAGAACAGCAGACAGAAAGACAAATGAAAAAAATGAAAGCAACATACAAGATCTAAGGGATAATATGAAGCGTGCCAACCTACATATAATAGGGGTTCCAAATGGAAACAAGAGAGAAAAGGGGATTGAAAATGTATTTGAAGAAATTATGGCTGAAAACTTCCTGAAATCTAAAGAAGGAAACAGATATACAGGTACAGGAATGACAGAGGATCCCAAGCAAGATGAACCCAATGTGACTTACACCAAGACATATCATAATTAAAATGGCAAAAGTTAAAGGATTCTAAAGGCAGCAAGGAAAAAACAGAGTGAGTCACAAGGGGACCTCCATAAGGCTACCAGCTGATTTCTCTGCAGAAACTCTGCAGGTCAGAAGGGAGTGGAAGATATACTCAAAGTCCTGAAAGGGAAAAACCTGCATCCTGGGATACTCTACCCAGCAAAATTATCATTTAGAATAGAAGGTGAGAGAAAGAATTTCTCAGACAAGCAAAAAATAGAAGAATACAGAAATATCAGATATACCTAAAATAAATATTAAATGTTCTCTCTAAATAGAAAAGAAGCAAGTATCTATAGGAAAGGGAAAATCACAGTAGGAGAGGCAAATATATAAAAGGATTGAAGATCACTGAAATAAGCCAGTACATAGATTAAAAAATAATAAAAAATTTGTAAAATCGATTATAACTAAAATTAACAGTAAAAGGATAAGCATGAAAATATAAAATAGGACATCAAAATCACAAAATGTGGGGTGGTGGGTAGTATAAAAATGTAGATCTTTTAGAATGTGTTTGAAGTTGAATGACTATCAGTTCTAAAGCAAGTAGATATAGTTGCAGGTTAACATACTTGAAAATCAAAGTAACCACAAATCAAAAACATATTCACACACACACACACAAAGATCAAAAAGAAAGGAATCCAAGCATAATATAAAAGAAAACCATCAAACCACTAAAGAAAAAACAAAAAGAAGAAATGAACAAAGAACTACAAAATTAACTAGAAAACAAGGTTTAAAAGGGAACAAGTACATACCTATCAGTAATTACTTTAAATGCCAGTAGGCTAAATGCTCCCATCAAAAGACATAGAGAGGCAGATTAGATTAAAAAAATAAGAACCTACAATACGCTGCCTACAAGAGACCCATTTTAGGGCAAAAGACACACACAGATTTAAAGTGAGGGGAAGAAGAAGGATTTTTCATGCAAATGGAAATGACAAGAAAGTGGAGGTAGCAATGCTCATATCAGACAAAACAGCCTTTAAAACAAAGGCCTCAAAGAAAGACAAAGAAGAAATATTATATAATGATAAGGGCGCAATACAAGAGGATATTTTATACTCATTAACATATATGCACCCAATGTAGGAACACCTAAATATATAAAACAAATACTAACAGATATAAAAGGAGAGTTTGACAAGAATACAACAGTAATAGGAGACTTTAACATCCTGATAACATTAATAGATGGATCTTCCAGACAGAAAATCAGTAAGGCAACAGAGGTCCCAAATGACACAACAGACCAGTTGGACTTAATTGACATCTACAAGATACTACATCAAACAAAACAAAACAAAACAAAACAAAACAAAACCAAGAAACAAACAACCCCCCCAACCCAGAATACACATTCTTTTCAAGCACACATGGAATGATCTCTAGGATAAACCACATACAGGCCACAAAACAAGCCTCAACAAATTTAAGAGGGCAGATACTATCTGACGCATCTTTTCTGACCACAATGATATGAAACTAGAAATCAACCACAGAAAGGAAATGGGGAAAGAATGAACACACGAAGACCAACATGGTACTAAAAAGCTAATGAATGAATGATGAAATCAAATATGAAATCAGAAAATACCTCAGGACAAAATACAAAATCTATGTGATACAGCAAAAGGATTCTAAAAGGGAAGATCACAGTGATATAGGCTTTCCTCAACAAACAAGGAAAATCTCAAATAAACACCTAGTCTACCACTTAAAAGAACTAAAAAAAGAACAAACAAAACTGAAAGTCAGCAGAAGTAAGGAAATTAAAGATCAGGGAGGAAATAAAACAGATTTAAAAAAAGCAAAAGATAAAAAACCAAAAACTGATATTTTGAAAAGATAAACAAAATTGACAAACCTCTAGCCAGTCTTACCAAGAAGAAAAGAGAAAGGACCCAATTAAATAAAATAAGAAATGAAAAAGGAGAAATAACAACTGATACCACAGAAATACAAAAAGCTATAAGAGAATACTATGAAGAATTATATGTCAACAAATTGGACAACCTACTAGAAATGGACAAGTTTCTAGAAACACATAGGCTGCCAAAACTTAGTCAAGAAAAAACAGATAATTTAAAACAGACCAATTACTAGAAGTGAAATAGAATCTGTAATAAAAAAGACTTCCTGCAAATAAAGTCCAAGATTGAACAGCTTCCCTGGGGAATTCTATGGTACATATAAAGAACTTATACCTATCCTTTTCAAACTATTCCAAAAAACTGAAGTTGAGGGAAGACTCCCAAATTCATTCTATGAAGCCTTTATCACCCTGATACCCCAAATAGGCAAGAACCCTACAAAAAAGGAAAATTATAGGCCAGTATCTTTGATGAATATAGATGCAAAACTCCTCAACAAAATATTTTAGTAAATCAAATCCAATAACATCTAAAAAGGATCATACACCATAATCAAGTTGGATTCATTCCAGAGTTGCAAGGATGGTTCAACATATGCAAATCAGTCAATGTGGTACACAACATTAATAAATGGAAAGACAAAAATCACATGATCATTTAAATAGATGCCAAAAAAGCATCTAACAAAATTCAGTATCTATTCATGATAAAAACTCTCACCAAAGTGAGTACAGAAGAACTTATCTCAACATGGTAAAAGCCATTTATGTCAAATCCAGAGACAACATAAAACTCAGTGGTGAATAATTGAAAGCCTTCCTGCTAAATTCAGAAACAAGATAAGGATGCCTACTCTCACCACTTCTATTCAACAAAGTCCTGGCCACAGCAATCAGAGAAGAAAAAGAAATAAAAGGTATCTAAATTGGAAGGGAAGAGGCAAAACTCACTATTTGCAGATGACATGATACTCTATGTAGAGAAACCTAAAGTCTCCATTAAAAAACTATCAGAATTAATAAATGAATTCAGCCAGGGTAGCAGGATACAAGATTAATATACAGAAATATGTTGCATTTCTTTACGCTAATAATGAAAGATCAGAATGTATAAAAACAATGCAATATAAAATTGCATTAAAACAGAAAAAACACCTAGGAATAAACTTAAGCAAGCAAGTAAAAGATTTATATACTGAAAACTATAAAAAACACTGATAAAGGAAATTGAAGATGATTCAAAGAAATGGACAGATATCCCATGCTCTTGGATTGGAAGTATTAATATTGTTAAAATGGTCATACTACTAAAGCAATCTATACATTTAATGTAATCCCTATCAAAATACCCATGACATTTTTTACAGAACTAGTATAAATAATCCTAAAATTTATATGGAAACACAAAAGACCCAGAATTGCCAAAGCAATCCTGAGGAAAAAGAACCAAGCTGGAGGCATAATACTTTCACACTTCAGGCTATACTACAAAGCTATAATAATCAAAACAGCATGGCAGGGGCACAAAAACAGACATACAAATCAATGGAATAGAACAGAGAGCCCAGAAATAAACCCACACACCTATGGTCAATTAATATTTGACAAAGAAGGCAAGAATACACAATGAAGAAAAGATAGTCTCTTCAACAAGTAGAAAGATAGCTAGCTACATGTAATTAATGAAATTGGAATACTATCTCACACTATATACAAAAATAAACTCAAAATGGTTTAAAGACCTATATATAAGACATGACACCATAAAACTCCTGAAAGAGAACACAGACAAAACATTCTGGGACATAAATTGTAGCAATATTTTCTTAGGCAAAAGTAATAAAAGCAAAAATAAATAAATGGGACCCAATGATACTTAAAAGCTTTTGCAGAGGAAAGGAAACCATCAACAAAGTGAAAAGACAATCTACAAAATGGGAGAAAATGTTTGCAAACTATGCAACCTAGAAGGGGTTAATAGCCAAAATATGCAAACAGCTCATACAACTTAATACTGAAAAAACAAAAAACACAAACAAAAAATGGGTAGAAGACTTTATTTTTCCAAATAGGATATACAGATGGCCAAAAGGCACATAAAAAGTTGTTCAAAATCATTAACTATCAGAGAAATGTAAATCAAAACCACAATGAGGTATCACCTCATACCAGTCAGAATGACTATCATTGAAAAGTCTATAAATAATAAAAGCTGGAGAGTGTGTCGAGACATGGGAACCCTCCTACACTGTTGGTGGGATGTAAACTGGTACACACACTATGGAAAATGGTATGGAGGTTCCTTTAAAAACTAAAAGTAGAGCTACCATATGATTCAGCAATCCCATCCTCAGGCATCAATCCAGAAAAGATAAAACTCTAATTCGACAAGATACACGCACCCCAATGTTCACAGCAGCACTACTTACAATAGCCAAGACATGGAAGCAATTCCAGTGCCCATCAATAGACAACTGGTTTAAGAAGATGTGGTATATTTATATATAATGGAATATTACTCAGCCATTATAAAGAATGAAATACCACCATTTGTAGCAACATGGATGGACTTAGAGAATATCATATTAAGTAAAGTAAGTCAGACAGAGAAAGACAAATATATGAATCACTTATAGTGTAATCTAAAAAAGAACACAAATGAATGTACATAAAAAACAGAAATAGACTCACACAGAAAAACTTATGGTTACTACAGAGGAAAGGGAAGGGGGAGGGATAAATTGGAGTATGGGATTAACAGATACAGTCTAGTATACATAAAATAGATAAGCAACAAGGATTTACTGAATAGCACAGGGAATTATATTCAGTATCTTGTTATAATCTATAATGGAAAATAACCTGAAAATATATATATATATATATCTGAATCACTTCACTGTACACTTGAAACTAACAGAATATTGTAAATCAACTATGTTTCAATTTTAAAAAAAGTTTGCATTCCAAAAGATTCTTATAAAAGTGAATACATCTCTCTCCTTACCAATAAGAGAATAACAATTCCCTATATTATTTATCTGACTTTCCCAGTTTTCTCTTATTTTTCATCTGCCTAAGGTCTTACCAGAAAGAGAAGGGAGACTATATGGATACTTTCATACCTGTTAAAAGTGCACACTGGTGGATATCTTCACTTACAAATTTCATAAAAGTATCCTCATCCTAAAACAAGACAGTTTAAAAATATTTCACTTTTAAAAATCAAGTTTCCCAATCCAGAAATTTTTTACATCTATCTTAGTACTTAGAACTGAGTGCATGCCTTTAATCTTTAATAAATGAAAAAATTAAAGCATTACTACTATAGGCTACTGGTCTCAAACCACCCAGGGACACTGTGAATATCCTGAAACGAAGTTTTAATCTTTCACCTCACTCTTTCCACAGGGAAAAGTCATAATAATGACTGTAGGGAAGGAACAGTTTATATAAAGATTCTTGGTAAACTTGGGAAAACAATTTAAATTAAGAATAAAATTAACCAAAAAAAAGAAAAGAAAAAGAAAAAGAAACACAGAAAGCCATGAATTATAGGGTTATGCATCATTTAGGGGGTTTATTTTGGGACCTTAACTTACACAGAAAATTTATACTTTACTAAAATGTGACAGAAATTTCTTAGAAATGTGGTACTGGAATCAGACAAAATACATTTAACTACTGCAGTTTGTTTCTTCCCCCTCTTTTCCTCCTCCACGTACTTTGCTTTGTTACATCAATGTCACATTAAATCTATTACAGTGGCACACAGTAGGTTTAGAACATTGGAGGTTCCAATATTACAATACACATTATGATGTAACATAGAAATAGTACATATAAGAAAATAAATGGACATGAATTATAAAAATTAAACCCTAATAACTATTACTCACATTTTAATAAAACTTGTAAGAATCTTAGCCAAGATATTTTCTCAAAATAACGCAGTATCAGTATAGATTCTCCTTCCAGATAGGGCATAATGCACACAGTAATAGCTTGGCTTTCAATTTATTTCCCAACTTCAGTGACAAGTGATTTAAACATCCAATTGATTTTTATATCCAATTGAATTTATAATATTTTTACTGGGAATTTATATTTTAGAGCAAGTTTTATCTCAAATTAAGGTAAAGTTGAGAAAAACATACTGATTCATCTTCGTCACTGATTGTTCTGTCTGAATAGTCTTCCTTTTCTGAATCTTCTGACATCTCTTCCAATATCTGTTTCAAATTTATTTTGTAGGTAGGCTGTAAAATAATTTGTAAGGATCTTATTTGACAATTTTCTTATTAAGTACACATTAAGAGTGTACTCTCAAATATATTCAATTTTATTTAATTAACAGTGACAACAGGCTTCTCTAGAAAGTAAATTAGGGCACAGCTAGTTAAACCTTTAATTTCAAAGATTTGAAGACATTTTCCATTTTTGTAAGACAGAAAATCACAATAAAAGACAAATCAAGTAAATAATTTAACTGAAAAAGGAATTTTCAGGGTACATAGCCAAAATCATTTACATTCTATATTTACAATTAAATACCACACACGATAGCAAGTTCAAAATAATCCTGAGGCATTAAAAAGAGCATGAATCAAATAAAAATTAGTTATTCACGCAGTGAATTGTAGCAATGTAGGTAATTTTTTTTCGCTTAAATTTCATTTGACCAATAGTTCAAATGACAATAGACTTTTCTCTTTATATCTTGGTTAAAACTCTGTAGGTACTGTCTCTGTTCTAATATTCCATCACATTTAGTCTTCGAGGAATTTCAGCTGTTCTCAGAAGGTTGCATTCACAATGACCATTAACCCTCCCATGCAAATATCTTCTCAAATAGTTATTAAGGACAATGAAATAATAGAAATTCCTTGTTAAGATTCTATTCTTTTTGAGAGACCAAAGGAATTTACTAATTTCGAATCTATTGGTTTATGCGCCTGCTGCAAAAAAGTATATTTTTGAGCGAAGACTACACAAAATAAAAGTCCAAGCTCCTTAGCAATTAACTACCAATGCAACAGAGAAGTCTGTCTTATGGGCGACACCTTCTGTAGTAAGAGACTTAAGTTTCAGCCTGGGGATCACAACTCCAAATCCGTAAAGCTAGACTGGCATAAAACTTGATTCTATTTCCTTACATGCGCCTAAGAGGCCCACCAACGTGCTGACCTGTTGCAGAGTAAAACCTGAGCTTCAGGAAAGCCACACACACAGGTGGATCTAATGAGCGCTCCGCGAGGATCTTCCACTCAGAAGCACAAGAGGCAACAGCTGGCGCGGCCACGCCAGCCGCGACCAGGCAGGTCTGCGGTCAGGAAAGTGACTTCCCAAGCGGGAAGGACGATGAAGCCACAATTCCCGGCTGCAAAGTCTTCCTCCCACACTCACTTCGCGACACGGCCGTGGGGGGAGGGGCGCATTTCCAGAGGCGCGCTCCTTTTCCGCAGGGACTTTCCCTCTTGACACCTCACTGTCACCCTCGGCCCCCTCACCCTACCCTGAGTCCCCTGATCAGGCCAGTCGTCCCTCCCGTGCCCAGAGCAGCCGTTTGGCCCGCAATACCTAGGGCCCAGCGACTGGTACCGTCCGGGCAGTTTAGCCGCTCCAGAGACGTTCTTCACCGAGAGTCGCAACACTCGTTACCAGGGCAGCGGGATCACCCTTGCGAGACTTCGGCCCGGCCTAGCCACGCGGGATTTCGGCTGAAGGAACGGCAGAGCCCGGTGGATGACGGGAACTAGGGACCGAGGAGTAGGAGTCAGAGGGAATAACCAACGGTGGATAGGCGGAGCGCTGAGGGCTGGGGAGTTTTAAGTGTGAAGGCAGGACAGCTGTTTGTCCTCACGGTTCTGCACGTCCGTTGTTTGCCATGTCGCTTCTCCAAGGAGGCAGTAGAGCAGACTGATTAAGACTTGGGCTTTGTTGATCTTTATTTGTATCCAAACTGAATTGCGTTATACAGAGTTGTGTGACTAATCATCCTTACTCGATTAGGAAAATGAGACTTTTAAAATATTTAATGGAGAAAGCATAGACATTCTAGGGTGAAATCTCAAAATTCTTGTCTGCTCTGAGATTCTTAAGTATAATATTCGTTAGCTAACGTATCGAGCACATCTTCCGAGGCAATATGCAAATCAGTTTACCTGTATTGTCTCAGCTAATGAAATGAGGTCTTCCTATAACAGATTTACTCATTATTCCTGTACATCCCATCTTGATTTCCCCCTGGTCTTTAGCTCTGGTGGGTAGTGTATTTAGAACAGTTTTGAAGTATGGTTTAAAAAAAAACCTATCAATGTTTGGTGCCTACATGAGGTATTATGTGCCATGAGATTTGTAATATTGTAAGAATAGAGATAATGGACCACATAGCAAGTTTCAAAGTAGAATAAAGGGCAAAGCATATATTAAACATGGAAATAGGTTAATATCGTCTGCTTAAATTTTGTCAGTTTCCCGAAAATAACATGTTTTTTTGAGGTCAGTGATTTAGAAGATTGTACTTTACAGAAAAAAGAAATAGAGCACATGTTAGATCATGCTTTATTGAAAAATAGTTACCCTTTATAGTTGTCCCTTGTTTTATGTCATATGTATGTTACTAAAGGTGACATGCACAGAGAATTTTCGTATATGGAATCTATTTTTCTGTTGGATTTTAGAGTCATGATTGCAAGCCATAGGATGTCAGATGCACAAGGTGAAGCTCCAAGGAATGATCTAACCAGGTTACACAAAAGATTAATGGTGGAGCTGGGACTTAAGTCTCATAACTTTTAGTCCAAATATTTACATGATCATATTTCAAGTAATCCTACACAGAAAAATTATTTTAGTGCATAATAAAAATACTTAAGAATTCAAAAAAGTTTGAAAATCGTGTTTATTCATTCTGTCCTTAATTCAGCAAATATTTATTGAATGCCTACTATTTGTTTCCAGATCTTGAGATCTGTCTCAGCCAATTAACCAAGACTCAGCTCAAGCGTCATCCCCTTAGTGAAGCCTTTCTTAATCCCTCTTATCATTGGTAGAATTAGTTTGTACTATTAGTTTATATAATGTGTCTAAATTTGGGGTCTATAGTGAAGCATCATTCTGAACATTTGGAAATGAGGTTCAACAAATAACAGAATAAATCACCTCAAAAGAGAAAGAATGGTTCCCATTCTCAGTGTGAAGATTCATGATAAAAACATGAAATGGTCTCCCCCACAACCACCACCAAGAAGTGTGCCTGAACTGTGCAATGGTGAAATCCCTATTTTGGCCAGATTCTACAACTTTTCAGCCAATTTCAGCTATTAAGAGTTTCATTTTGGTATTTCAGCTTTCATTCTGATATTTGGTGTTAAATACATTTTAATTTCAATTTCAAATTCGATTCAGTGCCCTCCTCCTCATTACCCTCCAGGCAGCCTAGATCTGTCCCTAGCTCTGGTGGCCTAGGAAGGAGAAAGGAAGTGGTGTTACACTATTTAACATTCCTCCCCTCTTCCTTCTAGGTGTGTTAGGATGAGTAAGAGCTGGGGGAAAGGGCAAATGTCTCTTTAACTGGGCCAAGTTGCAGTCCATGTGGTTAGTCGCCAGTGCTGTTATTGCTCTTCGTCTGTCCGTGTGCTTCAAGAGGAGAGTGGTGGCCCCAATCTGCCCCCCTGACAAGGGGCTGTCTTCAACACATGCTCCTAGGAAATAGCAATCTCTTGTGAGAAATTATGGGGAACAGAGTTTAGGAGGTGGGCTATATATCTTTGATTATTTACTACCTCATAATTAATTTGGTTTGGGTAAGGATCCAAATTTCTGTTTCCATTTACTTTTCTTCCAGCACTTGCTTATATTAGTACTTGGCAAAGGTAGTTTGTAGAAAAGTGTTTTACTGAAATAGTAATGTTTACTTTGGCAAACCCTTTTCTCATTAGGAAGGCAAATCTAATAGCAATTGCATTTATCCA